ACATAAAAATCTATGAGCTATTTTCTTAATCATTCTGATCTTCACTGAGCATTGTTTTTAATAATGGTTAATTTGGGATGATTTGAACGTGATTTGTAACTAGAATGATTCTGATCTCTTAGCAGCAGCTCTTAAGATGTGCGATGGCGATGAAGAAAACAGCATCCTCTCCCTCACACCATCTCAAGAAGGCGCCCCACCCGAGTCCCTCACTGACCCTCTGAGAGTTGATTGGCCCAAAGACCGTGTGTTGATAAACCGAATAGACAACCTCTGCTCGCTGGTTCTAAAGGGGCACTGGCCGTCAGGTCGACGCTACGTCTCTGACATACAGCTCAATGCTACAGCTGAAGAGCATGACCTCGGAGATGGCCTAGGTTACCCCCGAGTGGCACGCAAAAGCAACACTGCCGTGTCTGCAGAAGCTCTTGAAGGCCAAGAATCAGAGTTCACAGTAAAACTCCTAAAGGTGAGGTGGTGTTCAGACATTCATGAACCTCTACTGTCTCTTAAATGTCTGCTTTGTTTCATTTTTGCATTTGTTTCACTTCGTTTAGGAGGAGGGGCTGAAGTTGACATTTTCTAAGCAGGCTCTCATGCCAAACGGTGAAGGGAGTGCACGCAAAAAGAGAAAGGACCACGAGGTACAGAAATGCAGTCTTATAAATTTGCCCAAAAGTAACCTTTCAGTTTACATTGGTGCATTATAAGTATTTCCAGCTTTATAATGTTTTTTTTGTTTTTTTTACATTTAGCTGGTAGATGCTGAAGGGGTTCTCCATGCTCCCCGCAGAAGGGACCTTCCTAACTGGCTCAAAGAAAACCCAGATTATGAAGTGGAGGGAGACATGTTAGAAGTAAGTGCAAAACTCAGGTTGAACTCTCTTTTCTGAGTTCTTCTTGGACTGACACCGCTAAAAATGTTTCTCTTTGTTGCAGGTACTGGTGAACCGGACCAAAAGGAAGAGGAGGAGGAAGAGGGTAGAGAAAGGAGCAGCACTTACTGGCAGTGAGAGAGTGAAGGTCATAGACATAAGGACAGGCAAGAAGGTGAGGGAATACATTTGACCATTCTGCCATAATTATCACCTTTTCCCTTTTAGACTACAAAAAGTAACCAGAACAACTGTTTTTAACATTGGTAATAAGAACTTTTTCTTGAGCACCAAGTCAGCATATTAGAATGATTTCTGAAGGCTCATGTGACACTGAAGACTGGAATAATGGCTGCTGAAAAGTACTTTTTTTTATTTATTTTTTTTATATATCAAATAATGATTTGCTGAGCATTAGAGACTTCCTTGAAATCTTACTGACCAAACTTTTTAATGGTAGTGTATGCCATTTCCATGAAACAACAGTTCACACTGTTGTACATGGGACTTTTACTGTTCTTGATATATTTTGAAGTTGAGTGCAGTTGGTCTTACACTCCGTTTTATACTCTCTTTAGTTTGGTGGAATATACGGGCCTTTACTACAGGACCTGAGAGAGCACCTGGAGGAGAATCCGGACCACGTTGTAGCACCAGAATGGTCTGAGACTGTTCGCAATTCGGTTAGTGTCTCCTATATGTGACCCTGGACCACAAAACAAGTCTTAAGCCGCTGGGGTATATTTGTAGCAATAGCCAAAAATACATTGTATGGGTCAAAATGATCGATTTTTCTTTTATGGCAAAAATCATTAGGATATTAAGTAAAGATCATGTTCCATGAAGATATTTTGCAAATTTCCTACCGTAAATATATCAACTTCATTTTTGATTAGTAATATTCATTGCTAAGGACTTCATTCGGACAACTTTTAAAGGCGATTTTCTCAATATTGCAGATATCACAATATTACCCTCAGATTCCAGATTTTCAAATAGTTGTATCTCGGCCAAATATTGTCCTATCCTAACAAAACATACATCAATGGAAAGCTTATTTATTCAGTTTTCAGATGTCTTAAGACTGGTTTTGTGGTCCAGGGTCACACATTAGCTCAGTGTGTTTATGGTTATCATCTTCATCTACCCTGGTTGTATAGTGTATTTTAGGTCAATCGCAGTCAGTGGTTATTTTTCTGGAATTTAATCTGACCCTTCTCTTCAATCTCAGGGCTTCTTGCCTGAGAGTTTATTCCACAGACTGTTGAGTCCCCACGCTTCAATCCCCAAAAAGAGTCGACATTACCTCTCCACCCCTTCCATGCAGATTAATGACCCTCTCCTGGGAGGCGGCGAAGGCGAGACGTTAGTGTCTGACGGCGCATACATGATGGACGACGAGGACCTGGAGGACGGCAGTCACCTCACGTCATCTCACCACTTCCTTACTCCAACCTACGATGTGAAGATGGAGCCGAGCGCTCTTGATCTGGACGGAGGTGACAGTTTGTCACAAGGTGGCTATGATAGCTCAGACAGAGAGGCCATTTTGGATGATGTCATCATGGCACCGAAGAATTCAGACTCTTCCTCAAGCTCCGAGGATTGACCAAATCTCATGTTAGATGTAGTAAACCGAGATCATGACAGTCTTTTATTTTATTATATTCTGCCTTCATTATTTTTATAATTATTATTGATGTTATTGCTTAAAATATGGAGTAACAGATTTATTTTTTTCTTGGGTTGGATTTGTACTTGACTGTTTTGTGTAGGAAAGATATAGGCGCTTTTTTTTTCCTTTACACCTCGTTCAGCACATTGTGCAAAATATTAATTCCAGATGGATGAAATATATCAATTTCATGTCTCGCATACCCACAGTAAGCCCCTTTCATCCTTTATTGGCTGGGAAAGGAAGGAGCTGTTTGTCTCACTCCCTCTGGCTGAACTGTTTAACAGTGTGCTGAGGATCCATAGTCATGCACTGAGCTGAGCCATCGTGGTGCCCAATGTTAGACAGATGATGGCTGTATTGTACAAAGTAGAGTTGGTCTTATGCCTGCAATGATGCAAAAAATTATGCGTTTATTCCCGTTTCAATAACTGACTCCAACTGTCTCTGTGATATAAATATGAATAGCAGTCTACAGTGCAAACTGATGTCGGTTGAATTCTTTTCATCAAGTGTTGGTATTTATTTGAATAATGACTACTCATGCCCATTTTTATTGACTTCTTGAAATACATGCTGAGTAGAAGAGCAAGTTCATTTTCTTTCATATTTCATACTTGGATGAGGCATCATAAAATATAGTCTTCAATTATTGTTTTGATGAATTTAGTTTACACATGCATAACACATTAAATCACCAATTTAGAATAAGGTTGACCAAGGCATTGCAAGACCCAATAGAGAATAAAAAAATCCCAGACATTCAGTATGTGCTGCAGGGTTAATACTTCTTGACCCCCTACTGTGCTGGAGGTAAATCACGTTTGACTATTTTGTCATGGTTATCCGCCAGAGATAACAGTCAGTATTTAGTATGAGACAAATAGGTTGTTGTTGTGTGGTGCCTTTTGAGCTCTGTATCTGGAAGTGAATGCTTGCAATTTTTTCAAAGTATTTCTATGAAAGATACAAACCACTGAGGGACTGGCTAACGAGTCATTTTAGACATTTTGCTAACTTCCGTACAAACAAATCATTTTCAGTTTTATCTATCAGAATGGCTTGTTTTAAAGTGACACTAAATATTATAAACCATGTTTACTGTTGCTTTATCCATCAAAAATGTCACTTCCAGTGGGATATTGCACAAGACAGAATAACAAGCGAAAATTAGAACATCGAAGAGACTAGAAATTCATTAAAAACGTTATTAAACATTCACAAGAAAAAAATGCTGCTTTTAAAGCATTTTTTAGAGAAGGATAGTGCATAGCACCTAGGGACATGGCAAAAACGGAAAGCTCAAAGGAGTATTAATATCATATAGCCCTATATTTACTTCAAAAAGTAAAAGAAACCGTAATAATGTCAATATTTAAAAGGTTTGAGTGTAATTTTAACCAATAGGAAGTATATGAAGGGGACAAAAATGGATTGTAATGCAGGTTAGTAATAGGCCAAAAAAAAAAAGATTTTCCTCTAGGGGCACATGGGGCCACAGATAACAGAAATCTTTGCTTTCACACTTGGCTCGCTTGCCTGTTCCGAACCCGAGTTCGATTGCTCCCCCTCCTCCTGCCCCCGCTGGACTGCGTTCATATGATTTTATTTGGGTCCGAACCGTGGTTCGTTTGCGTCATCAAGCCAGCAGCTGTTTACCCCGTTGCTTAGTAACGACGGCGCAGGAGAAGGCAGCAAATGCATAACATTCCTCTCTGCACTTTTATATAGTTACGTTTTTGGACCGTTCGTTTTGTTTACAAAGCTTCGGTACATAACGGCAAATGTACTGCAAATGCTCTAAAGAACGCTGAAGGCAAACAGAAATGAGATATACAGCTCTCTGTTTGCAGCGCGTCAGTCATGCTCGGCAGGAAAGTGAGTGAAACACACACACACACATTTTAATCAAATAATACGTCATTAATAGCGGTTCACTTCCGAGATTGCGTTCACATCAACGGCGAACCGTACCCCAGACCACCCTTTTCAAGCGGACCGGAGTTCGGAAGACAGCGTTCACATCATCCAAACGAACCGAACTCTGACGTCAATCGAACCCGGCACTTTTAGAGATGCATTCAAATCACAGGACAATTTTTGTCTTATTGTAAACATGTGCGAGTATTGGCTCTTTATGTAAAAATGGAACAACACTGCTTCAATCTCTAAAAAAAATGATTAAATAAGATTCCTTCTCCAGTAATCATAAGCGACCGTGATTGGTGCACCTTTACCATGGCTGATCAAAGTAACGGCTGCCATGTGACATTGTAGCAGCAGCGTAGAAAATAATTTGTGGTGGCTATTGAATTGTAAATACATAATGAAGAAAAATAATAAATGTATGGTGTTTTACCAGTTATAAACAACGTTTGAGCTACATTAAATATTTTCAGCAAAAAATTGTTTCCTTTTTGGTCTGATCGGAGTGCGATTAATCGGACTTGTGAATGCAAACAGACAAACGTAGCAGAGTAGCGATCGAATCGGTCCATTTTTAGCAATTGCAGCAACTGTCTGCTAGTGCAACTCTAAAGCAAACTTTGTTCATTACATTTGAATATGTATTAAGAATATATAGTTTATAATGCTGTTTAATAAGACGCTGGGTATTACATATAGGAAATACCAGAAGTCTTTCTCCGCGAGGCCTGTGATATGAATGAAACCTCATGTTGGGTTTAACAGCAACACATCTGTGAACTAGCACCATTTAGCCGGTTAACGTTAGCTGCTGTTGGCTGGCTGAATTGGTAAGCGTGTATCTAACTTACCACTCTTATAACGTTTTTATATATACCTATAAAACAAATCTAGTTATACTTGCGCTGCGTGTTGGATCGCCTGATGAGGTTTATTGGCATTGTTCAATCGAGCAACACATACCATATTCTGGACAATACCGAGAACATGGTGCTGCCTTTCTTGGTTCTTTTCTTGTGGTGAATCGCATTTTTTTTTTCTTAGATGACTTGGCCTGTTGATTTTTTGTTATTTGTTGCTCTTGGATTGTTACAAGCTCAGCCGCTCCTCTGATATCAGGAGATCTTCGTATTATCCTCATGGATTTGAATTTTTACTCGGATCTCTCTGACGGGACTGGTCAACATGTTGATTCCGAGTTCATGGATAACTCGTCTTACAGTGGATATGATCCGGTGAACAAGGTAAATCTGGCACCTTTGTGTAGTAAAATATCTTCAGTTTAATGAACTATACATTGTTTATTATTGCAGTAATTTAGTGTAGCTTTGATCTATCCGTGTGCATGCAGTTAATAATACTCATTTTAACCTATGCTTTTATAGTTCGCAGGTGGCAATGATTCATACCTGACCATCAGTGGACCTGGTCATCATTGGTCATCTGAGGTAGTGCTACACAAACATCAAGTAACCGTTCTATATTCTAAATTCTAGAATTCTGAGTTCTATATTCTGAACTCTCTCTCTCTATATATAACTCTGTATATACAATGACATTTAAAAAAATAATATTGATGTAATACATTTTTATATTTATCTATGTTTTGTTTTGAAATTATACACTATTTTATATTAACTTTATTTATTTATTTTTATTGTAGAAAACATTCCATACACCCTGTCTGGGTGATGAAGAGTTTGAAATCCCACCGATCTCCTTGGATCCAGATTCTGCGCTCACCATTGAAGATGTGGAAGCCCATTTTGGAGAGCTGGCTGAACAGGCTGAGACCTCGAGTGCTTCTGGAGTTGGAAATAGTCTTGCCAGTAATCCTGTGGTAGGGGGGAATGATCCCTCTTTTGCTTCTGCTTTCATGAATCCATCATCTCAGGGCATAGAGCACCTGAGTATGGGTGTGATTAACCAGCGGGGGGGAAGTTTTAGAAGTTTTAAAAGAGAGGAATTGTATTTGGAACTGTATGATTCCCATTTTTTTAGTTTTTAATAAACATTTCAGGTTTACAAAAGGAAAACGGATGCAGCCAAGAAAGAGTATCTGAAGGCGTTAGCAGCCTACAGAGCAAATCAACTCTCAAAAGTGAGTGAATTGTTTCTGGTTCGTCCTCTGTGGATTTTTGATTTCCAGTCTTATTTCTTTCTTTCTTTTCTTTGTTTCTCATCAGTCATCTACTGAGGTGGAGGATAGTGCTCCTTCTACTCCTCCCTCTGTCCCCTGTCCCGCACCCGTCACTTCTGCTCCTGCTGCCCCTGCCCGTCCACGGCTGACACCCATCCCTGAGCAGAACACCATCACCAACATCTGCGCCTCCAATATCATCCTCGACGGGCCTCAAGTCACCACCCGTTCCCGCACGGGCTCTCTACCCTTGGCCATCAGCCAGCCCCTGACCCCCACTGTCACAAAAATCATCATCTCCAAACAGATGCTGGGAGGTTCTCAGATCCACCAGATCCCCACGTCCATGGTGACGGTGATTCCAGCCGCATTGCGTGCCGTGCAGCCGGCTGTTGCTGGACGACAGCCTCCACCGCTGCAGCAGATGCAGGGCACCCCACCGCCACCACGTCTGCAGCAGATGGTACAAACACAAGCCCCGCCTCCGCTTCAGGCCAAGCCCCGTGGAGGGGCAGGAGGCTCCGTGGCTGTCACGGCTACACCACCTCCACCTCTTCAGATAAAGATTGTCCCCGCTTCTTTACACTCCGACCTCTCCACACCGATTATTGTTACTACAGCTACAAGTGCTAATCCTGTTATTGCCTCAACCACCATCTCGGCCTCAGCACATCCTGCCCCTGTTGAGGTGCAAGTTGAAGAGCCCAGAGAGGAGTTGGTCACTGGGACGGATGAGGCTGTGACGGAGGAACCCGAAGAGGTTTGTTTTTCCCTTAAAGGGATAGTCCACCTAAAAATGAAAATTGTCATTAGGCCTGGGTGATAAAACGGTATCAATATTTGTCGACGGTACACCTTCTTCGATAACGATATAAAAATTTTCGATATAGTGCACGATATAGGCACGTGCTATGAGTGACGCAGACAGCACACACGAACACATGCTGAATTGAGTGCTGTGCCTGCCTGTGATGAGATTGTGAATAAAAAAATTTATATTAGTCTAATTTAAAATAAACATTTGCATTTGAATGTTAGGAGTGCGTCAGGGAGCATCATCAGTGGCGCATGATATGCAGTGATAATGATGTAAGTGACGTTGCATTTTAATGTTTTGTCAGTCTACACCACGAGACGCGCCGCTGCTGTGTTATGCATTCAAAATATTAGCGACATATAGAAGCTCAATGCAGAGAAGATCTTGATTAGTTGAAAACCGAAACCAAGCCATTCAGACAGATTCAGCGCATTTTTTAGATGGACAAATATGACTGCTGCACTCACGTCTCACACAAGAGATGTAGCCATGCAAAGTTAAAACAGTTTAAACTTTTAGAAAATACGTCACGAATTTGTGGAGGTTTATTCCTTTTCACTGTGTCATGTTTTTAAATGCAATCTGTGTGATTCGGCTCTTTGTATTAAGCAATGCATAAATACATGATGCTGTTTTGTTCATAATTGTTTATCTAATTTACGAAATTATATTTGATCTATATCAGTTAATTTAGATGTAACGCACGTTTTTTTTTATAGACCGTTATTTCTTTGCGTTGACGATTTAAATTTGCTGCGTTATTTTGCTCATTGCGCCCTCCTGTGGCCTCGGGAGACAAGCCAAAAGATTACCTATTTAATCTGCATATAAAACATTAGAGATGTGATGTGATTGTTTAAAAAAATTAACTAAATTAAGTTATTAAAATTATTAAATATAAAGTTATTAAATATTAAAAATATTTGTTGTTCGTCTCAATAAATTGGGCTAATTTAAAAAGTTAAATTTAAACTTTTTTTTTTAATTTTTTTTTTAAGGTTTTAAAAAATATCAATAATTATCGATACTGAACGATATGAAACATATCGTTGATACATTTTTTAGCTATATCGACCAGCCCTAATTGACATGCGTTGTTTCAAAGCTTTTTCCGAAAGTGTCATTACCCAACTATGGTTTCTGTGTTTCCTGAACTAGAGATGCACCGATACTGAGCTCCTGTACTCGTATTCGTTCAAATGCCCCGATACCAAACACCGATACCACACACCATGTGATAAGCCCCATATTCAGACAAAGAAACACAGACAACAGAACAACAGACAGCAGAATGGAGTTAAGGATGTTTACTACGAAGTATTTGTATGCAATGAATATAAGTTAAACATTCAGTATTAACGCCTGTATAGCTGATGTGCGCAAGCTGATAAACAAAGCACGCTGAGTGGATTGAGCGTGTGGCGGCGCAGATGCACAAGCTTGTCGAGGGAATATACCTTTCTCACAGACATCACTGGAAAGTTTGTAGTTCGGTCGGATATGTCAAAAACAAGTAAGTAAAACAATGCACAAGTTACTTAACGGTAGTTGCGCGTGCTTTGCTTGCTTGAGTGTTTCTGGGTTATATGAATAGCTTTGGAATATAAATCGCAGCACATTTCAGATGAAAAAACGCGACTTCTATTTCTGAAAATATCACCGTTAGGAGATTTATTGTGAGTGGTTCCCTGCATTATTACAGCAAAGCGCGTGATTACAGTACTAAGCCGCTGCAATGGAGCAGCTCTAATGCTATTAAATTAAAGAGGATGTACCACAGAGCAAAAAAATGAACAGTGAAAGTAACAAAAACTTGTAAAAATACATTTTAATGGGCATAATTAAGTGTGAAAATAACCGAAGGATATACAGTCAAACCTAAAATGTATTCAGAGAGCTGATATAATTTTTTATATTTTTTTAATAGTGGGTGCAGGACACTATAGTTCATTTATGTAAGTGAGGATAGCAAAATAAAGTAAACTGTGACAAATCATACCCAAAAATTATTCATACAGTGGACTACCAGTAAAATTGGGGACCAAAAATTATTCCGACCGAGTCTGGGGAAAAAACATTGAAGTTCAGGTTTGCATGAACCTGGATGACAGCATGCCCAGGAGACTACAGGCTGTCATTAAGGCTAAGGGTTGTGCGACTAAGTATTGATAGTTGTGTAAATACTGTCATAATAACAGCCGTCTGAATAATTTTTAGTTGATTGTAATCCATTACATACCTTTCTATCAAAGTTATCTAACATTATCAAGCTGAATTTGTTCTGACACAGTTTAACTCTGAGTTCTTGTCATATTTTATTTCCATTTTCTAAACTATAGCGAATAAACTGTGATAATATGAGAAATGTTGAAGGTGTCTGAATAAATTTAGGTTTAACTGTATTTATTTGATAAATGAAGTTAACCAACTAACATTATACATACTCTTTTGGTTTCTGTACCCAATATTTGAAAAATTTACAAATGCAGTGAAAATATTGGTATCGGTACTTGGTATCGGCAAGTACCAAAAATAAAAGTATCGGGCGAGTACTGGAAAAAGTGGTATCGGTGCATCCCTACCTGAAACCATAGTTCAAATGAACATTTGCATATAGCGTCGCAATCTTATGTGGTTCCACCACCTGTGCATGATGTCATTAATGGCAATCCTATATTGTTCAACCAACATGGTTTAAACAACCATTTTACAGCAGTTTCAGGAAACAGACCCGAGTACATAGTTGGTTAGTTTCTTCAACGATGCTTCACACTATAGTACTTACTCAGGAAGTTACCCCTGTATGACCTCTGTACCACACCACTGTATGACTTTGTTCTTTAAAATATCTTCTATTATGTTCTAAAGAAGAAAAGTGGTCACCGAAGAGTTTCAGTTCCCACTTCATACAAACTTCTGTTGTATGAACCAAAAGTACAATGGAAGTCAAAGGCAACTGAGTTTTTATTTTTGGGTGACTATTATTTTACTATTAAGAGCTACTGTAATTGAACTTATTAGTAACAGCCATAAAGGAAAATATTAAAAGTTCAAACACAAGTTATGTTCTTCAGAGATGTTTTATCCCTTCTTTTTCAGATGGAGATGGAGGTAAGTGTTGCTCCTGAGGCCTCCTCTTCAGCTCCTCCTACAAATCTCTGTGTCCGTGCTGGATGTACAAACCCTGCTGTGGAGAGTCGAGACTGGGATAAAGAGTATTGCAGCAATGAATGTGTGGCAACACACTGCAGGTTTGTTTTTTGTGTGCATGTGCTTGTTTAAAACATTTTTTTATTTGTAAGATGGTTTTTGTATGGCCAGATTAACATGCTAATTTCACTATTTACTCTCTTAACAGGGATATTTTCATGGCCTGGTGTTCAATCAAGAGCCAGAACTCAGCCACCGTCAAATAAATGAGAATCCTCCTGTTTCTGGTCCTTAACATGCCTGGATGTCTTTTTATGTGAACAACAGACGTTTACTGGGTTTCTGAGTGAAGGTGTAGTGTTTTTGTTGTAAATAGCTAAGGCATGAAAAAATCACTCCCCAGCTTGTTTTCCACACTGAAATTGTCAGAAAAGGACCTATGTGATTGTAGTACTTTATTTAGACTTTGTTTTGCTCCAGTGATTTATTTTTTTATGTGTGTTTCTAGTGATGTGTTAAAGTGGGACAAAATCCAAACCTTTGTGTTATATTCAAATATAGTAGTTTTGATTATGATGAAAAATTTGAGTGTTAGTGAATCTCAAGTAATACAATCATTCTGGAATTCTATTATTTTTTTTGTTTAATGCAATTTTCTCATGTTGTACTGACAGTATCTTAGATCAGTGTTCAGAAGTGCTCTCATGTCAAATCTTTTTGCCTTAGTTATGGGGTTTTGCTGACTTTTTTTTTTAGTTACAGAAATTATTCAAGTATTAATAAAAGGCAGCCAAAATGGTTTGTTTCTGAAGTCATTGCTAACCGACAACTTTGAAATTAAGTGTTTTTAGTGCACTATAAAAGGTGTCTGTCTACTGATGACTAGTCAAAAATATATTCAGATAAAATATAGTATAGAAGCCAATATGGTAGAATTACGTTTTTTTTAAATATATAAACAAGTGCTTTTTTGTTCACAAAACATATTTTTTGTTCAATATGATTCACAATCTTTTTCTTCCCTTTAAACTAACAAGTGTATATTTTAACATTCACATAGCCATAGTGAGTTAATGGTTACATGACCATTAAACAAAATGCAATAAAATGTCCTTTGTGTGTTTTATTTTGGTTATTTTAAATCAATTTGATTATTTTTTATATATATATATAAAAGGATGATTTAGTTATTAGCATTTAATCAATATTCGTCACGAACCCTCATCTAGATAAATCAGTTCAAGTGCAAGGTTACTTTGAAGGAACAAATACAATTGCTTTTTCATCAAAGATCCCAACATTTTTTTCTCCATTGCACTTATGGAACAATTTTTCAATTGAGATCACTGTCCATACTGGTCTCGTTACTGAGTCAAGTTGCATTACTCAATAGCAAGAAATGAGATATGGTTGCTCCTTTCATCAGCCCAGTAAACAAAGACAAGGTTATTGTTTATTCAAAAAGAAACTACATGTTTGTCAATGGCTACGAGGATGAGAATGGAAAAATAAAGTATAGTGAAACCATTTCTTTTGTTGGTTACAAACTCACAAATCTAAGTTACTACATGTTTGTTTGCTTGTTTTTTTTTATATCAAACTAAAAACAAGTGATTGACAAAGCATAGCTGGTTAAAAATAAAAAAAATTAAAATTCAAGTTTATAAAAAAAAAAAAAAATCTCCGGCAATTTAAGATTTAAAGAAAAATGTTTGCTTGGTCCAAACAAAGATATCACATTAAAATTTAAAAAAGCACATTTAAAAGACATAAAAATGCAAGCAGTAGTGTTACAGCATTTTTTTTTAAAATCAGCTTAAAGTGAACAAAGCGTGCTAAGAAAGTGAAGTTTTAAAAATCTCTGTAAAGTACAAATCACTTCAAAAAGGATTACAAAGACATATAAAGCCCTGTGAATCCTGCAGCATCCAATCGTCTCCAGTGTTCAACCACACATTAACCCACTTGAATGGGTCCAGACAAGCAAGTTAAAAGGTTTAGGTTGTTAAAAGTGTTATGACAGAAGATAAAGTAATTCGTTGAAAAATAAAGAGTATAAAACCATCCTAGAATTATGATTTTAGTATTTACATCAAGCAAGAATCAGTCATACTTGTATTGGACTGCATGACTGTGCCCTCTAAAAGCCCTGTATGTGTTACACTTTACACTTGGGGGGCAAGATCCTAATGAAGAATAAAACGTTTGTATAGTATTAGCACAGACGCAGTCGGGGGCAGAGATTACAATAGAAGAAAACTGTCCAGAAACATTTGCAATATGACATAACGGAACACAAAATGAGTTGCCCTGACGTTCTTACTGCCATTGTGTGCTATATTTACCGCCTGGATACAGTGGTTCTGATGTGAGGTAGAAATGTGGCCTTTGGTTTAGGTCACACACAACGTTTGTCAGTTAAGACTTCGAAAGCTAACTGGCGCCGCGTGAGTGAGCCTGTGTTTCTCAAGGTTCTTGTGGATCCTAAAACCCTTCGAGCACAGGTTGCAAATGAAGGGCTTTTCACCTGTGTGAAAGCGCAGATGAGCCTTCAAATTGTTTTTGAGACGGAAGCCTTTCCTGCAGTGCAGGCAGATGTGAGGTCTCTCTCCAGTGTGGAAGCGCTCGTGTCTTCGCAAGCTTTTCCTCAGGGCAAATGTCTTTTTACACCTCCTGCACGAATACGGCTTTTCGCCTGTATGAAATCGCTCGTGCCGCTTCAGGATCTTCTTGCGTTTGAACTTCTTGCCGCAGATTTTGCAGGCATAAGCATGTCCGTGTGTGAGAACACCCTGTAGGCGCCAAATGCCATTCCCGCAATCTTTAAAGCAGCACAGCCGACGTCCCGTATGGACACGCTGATGGGTTCGCAGGTCTTTGGGTGTAGAGAAGCATTTTCTGTTGGAACCGTTTGGCCTTTGCGCACTTGACGGGATCAGGAGATTCACAAGCTGCACAGAGCAAGGCCGTAACAGTTTGCAATCGAACGGCGTTTGGCTTAGCTGGAAACGCACCTTCTTGGCATTCTCAGCACTGTTACCTGATGCCTGGCTGAGTTCAGTGGCCTCCGCTGGGGTTTTGCTGGACTGCGGAGGTTCTGTGAGAGGTGACTTTTCAACAGATGGCAAAGAACTGACTTCCATAAGGCCAAGGTCCCACTGGCTCATAGTGTCGGTGGAAAGGTCTACACTGGGAATGCCACCTAAAACAGAGCTGAACGGATGAGACTCTGGATCGACTACAGAGTGTGAAGAGGATTCCTCAAGTCCCTGAAGACCTAAAAATAAAAAAGGTTAAATGTATTTCAGTCTCACAAAAAATGTATTAATTCTTTACTATTTTTTTTTTTTAATAAAACATTCAATTACAGGAGCATCAAAGGGTTTATTTCCGGATAGAAAAACTACAATTTATGCATTTAACTCATGTAGTTCAGTATAGTTGATTAGCTTTGTACAGTAAAACACTTTTAAATATAAATGATTATGAATCAAGCATGTCTGGTTTCCTCGTACCATTTTCCTGAATTATCTCTGGTGTCTTTATGTCATCTGTCCATGGCACTTCATGAATTAAGCCGTCTCCCCCACCAATCCCCTAAAACAGTATACAATACATGTGACTTGGTCAGTAAGGCAAAAGAAACAGAAATTACAAAGTTAACATACTACAACAGATTGCAATATTTTTCTTTTGCATTTACATTATATTAATCCATTTTTACTCAATGTCATGGTTCCCAAATGGGGTTTCGTGAGGGAACTGCAGGAGGTTCATGAGGTTATGAAAAGCTTTTAATAAATGATATTCAATATAAAACAAAAATAAATAAATGGGATTGCACAATAATCACAATGTAGTTTTTACATTACTTAAATTTAAATCTTTGACTTAATTATATAACTGTATGGTCTTACGCGCTGCTTGTTTCTGAGTAAAGCACTGGCAAATCGTAATTAAGTGTTTTCAGAGTCTCGGTTCAAATTAAATGCAGTGAACTCTAGCTCTGCATGAAATGCAACATGTGCTAGCTTTACTTTATTTACACACTGCCAACATAATCTCCAACATTTTTGGAGTGAGAAGTTTAAAGCATTTCACCAGCCTTTTGCCAAAATAAAAGAATGAGAAATATTAAATAACCTCATGGTTTGAATGTTTTAAATTGAAGAATTTAAGACAAATATTAGTCCTGAAAATTGTAGTTTAAAACACATTATTTTAATTATTATAAAATAACATTTATTTTACAGCACCCTTGTCATTTACAACAGAAATGTTCCGGTCTTCATTTTTAGAATTAGCTACAATAATAATAATAACAATCAGTAACAATAATAATAATAATAATAATAATAATAGCAATAATAATTACAAGTGTGAATGTTTGAATATCAAATATTTGATCCATTTACTTGCACGTCATATAACCAATAAATGACACCAGAAAACTGTGAACATGCAAATGTTTTGTAAAAGATATTGATAAATGAATTTCAATTTCAGGTTTGAAATCTAAGATGTGTAATGAATATTATTTCATCAAAGTTGAACATTTCATTTAAACCTAATAAGATAAAGTAAAAAATCAGCATGACCTACAGTTTCTTTGAAGATAGTGCATGGAAGGTCAACCATGCATTGCAAATCCACAGCTTCTGGAGACTCTTCGCAGAGAGCTTCAGAGGGAGAAAGCCCCTCCTCTCCTTTGGATTCCTGCAGAAAAATCTTGTCTCTCTCAGTGGACGTGCACTGATCTGAATGGGGTTTGGGGGTGGGAAAGAATACAATATGTTACAATTCAGAAACATGAGAAACCTGGTCTGTGTCAATTACAGTGCTGCTGGCTTTCTTAAAGCACATTATTTAGAGTTTTAAGAGCACATTGTCCTTTCAAAAATCATTTGAACTTTTGAATTTGAAAGGTGCCTGAATCTGAGAATCAGCTCAGCTTTACATGGACAAGTGAATAAAAACAAAAACAAACAGCTTTATAAACTTTGTTTTGCCAAAAAAAAAATTTTATATAAAAAAAGTCATATCATGATGATTAATTATTATTAGTTTTAAGAAAGGTCACATGCACAAATGTATTTTTGCATGAAAACTAAGCAATAGTCTGCACAATATAAACTGCTGCAAAGATGGACTTTAACCTTGAAATATCAGTCAACAGACTGTTGCAACTACTTTTAAAATTATGGCAAACCATTCTAACCTTAAAACTAAACAGTATTTATTTTTATGTTACTTGCTATTTTCAAGCAATCCAATAATGAATAATGCATTTTCAGTTTTAATAAGTAACTATTTGACAGGAGTACTTATTCCAACAGTGACTTTAATCTATTCATTTAGTTTAATTCATTTACTCATGTCATTCAGTTTAGAGTATAACATGAATCAGCAAATCATATATAGTCCTTATATAGATAGATGACTAATAATAGATACTGATAGAAAAACGAAAAGAGATACATTTGGCTTGAATGAACACACTATATAACAAACCAATACGCATTTACTCACTTCAATGCAGGGTTGCACTAACATTTAGCATACCACTATGCAGAAATGTTACTTAAAATATCAGTTCAGTAGGTCTAATATTTGGTCTAACGAGTAACAAGTAATGAAGTGCTACGTATTAGGTTGTCTAGCCCAGTGTTTCCCTGGGGTGTTTCCCTGGGGTGCCGTCTGTCGAGAGCAGGGGTGCAGTGTAAAAAGTCCTTTTTTAATATTTTTAGAAAAACACTGAGTGAGCAAAAATTTGTGAGATAGCTAGTTATAATGGTAATTAAATCATATTTACATATGTATAAAAGCCTACATTAAAATCTGTCATATAAATTGGTCTCTTCATTAGAAGATTATAATCATTAAAGTCATTATCCTACTGATTGCCACCATTGATGGACAAAATGTTTTAATAATATAAAAAATATCTGTATGACATTATATTCTGCAGTTCTTCCCTGTTGTACCGAATATCTATTCTTTTCAAATTACCATATCGACGTTAGAAATTCAAATATTGTGACAAAATTAATTTTGTAGGGTGCCACAAGTTTGTTAAAATTTCCAAAGGATGCCGCGACTAAAAAAAGGTGGGGAAACACTGGTCTAGCCTAATAAATTGTAACGAAATACCACTGGAATAGAGACTAATAGCAAAAGAAGATGAAAGTTCTATTTAATAAACAGTTACTAGGAAAATTAAACTATACCAGCCACTATAATAATAACAATAATAAGAAAGAAAGAAAGAAAGAAATACCAGTGACATAAAATAGACACTAGTAAATTTTAAGGAATATATACTTCAACGGCTTGCCACATACGAAAGACCCTACTTCCGGTCCACTCCTGTTGAATTCAACAAATGTGGAAGTGGCTGTTGTTTACGCCGAGAAACATACCCTGATGGTGGGACAGCAGTGTCTCTCCTACTTGCACACCGACGCTACAAACCATCTTGTCAGAGAGATTAGTCAATGCACTTTCCATATGAGCCCTGATGTCAGGGACACACACTAGATTGTCCTTGATCTGAGCTTCTCTATCGACCGTGCAGCCATGGCAATCCAATGCGCGTCCTTCGAAAACTTTCGTTATCTCCACGACGGCCACCTTCAGTAACACCTCCATAACGGCCGCCACCTCAGCTTGAAACCTGGACACGGACTCGGA